GGCGCCGCGGCGGGCGCAGCGGAACCCGCGGCCCGCCGTCCGCCGCCCCCGGCGACACGAACAGCGGCCGCCGCCAGCTGCCCGCCGGCGGCGGCGCCGGCGGCGGCGGCGGCAGCGCCGGCCGCGGCAGGCGCCCCGGCGGCCGCAGGGGCACCCGCGGCCGCGGCGGCCACAGCGGCGGCCGCCGCGCCCGCGGCGGCCGCGGCCGCCCCGGCCGGCCCCAGCGCCGCAGCCCGCGCCACGGCTCCGGCGGCCGCAGCGGCCTCGCCACGGCCGGCCGCCGCGACGGTCGCGGCGGCCGCGGCGCCGGCGGCGGCAGCGGCCGCCGCGGCAGCCCGAGGCGCCAGCCCCGGAGGCGGCGAGGCGCACGGCGCGGCCGCGGAAGTGGCAGCGCCCGCGGCGCCAGCCGCAGGCGCGGCGCCACCGGCGCCCGCGGCCGACTCGGCAACAGCGGCGCCGGCGGCGCGGACAGCGGCGCGACCGGCGGCAGCACGCCGCAGCCGCCGCCGCAGCGCCGCGCGAAGACTCCATGGCCCGGGGACGAGGGCCTGGAGAGAGGAGCAGGGCTCCCTCCAGGCCCTCGCCGGCAGGCGCAAGCCGGCTAGGCTCCCTCGAGCCAGAGCGGCTTGAGCCAGAAGGCTTGAGCCAGAAGGCTTGAGACGCTGGTGAGATATTGTTTCATATATATAAAAAAACCGCGGGCGGAAGCGCCAGCGGCGGCGAGTAACGGTCGGGCTGCGGCCGAAACTAATTGGCCGGACGCGCGCGCGGGCCGCGGCCGGCGCCGGGGCGGCGGGCGCAAGGGCGCTGCAACCCAGGGCGTCTGACGCCCAGGGACCTGCACCCAGGGAGTCTGTAACTACGCTGCCAAAATGGCGCGATGCAAATAACCCCAAGGTGTCTGAGGCCATGGCCAAGCAGTACGCCGCTTGGGTACACTATCTGAACAGTAGGGAGTCTGCAAACCTCGGCGCAGCGAATGGCGCACCATCGGGTCCCAGGGTGTCTGAACCATGCTCAAGCAGAAGCGTCCGAGAGACGCGCAAGCTGTCGCCTGACTGCATACCGCAGGGAGAGGTTGGACTCTGACAGCGCCAGCGAACCGTCGCAGCTTCAGAGCACGCACCTACGCAACCAACATGGCGCGAAATTCGTGGCGTCTGTAACCGAACAAGGCACGTCAGGCCCGGAAGACAACCTCGAACAAAGATGCATTCGCAAGCGAGCCATCAGGTAACATGATGTGACGCTATGCGGAAGGTACAACTGTCCCAATATTCTACCAGGCACAAGTCGCAGGCGACTAGCAACCAAAGATAAGAGCAGGAACGCGTACCAGGGAGCATCTAACGCGACGAGCATACACAGAGCCACGCCTATCCTTGGTACCCTGGCGTACCAGAGTGAAGTGTAAGAAGATGGCGCTCTGGGAAAGCTGCGCTGCCGCTCACCAGCTGCAGCCGAAGCAACAGCCAGTGGTCACGAAGAAGCCCAGGGAGCTAAGGGCCGCTCATCCAGGTAGAGCGGGGGGGCGACGATGGGACGCTGGCAGTCCGGGCAACAGGAACTGGCGGCCAACAAACGAAGCAGGCGTACGCACTAGACACAGGTATAGGCTCAGTCCGCTGACCACCTGCGGCAACACTGTGGCCGGTGCGCGCAAAAGGGTGCGCAACTGCGTCCCTGCGTCCGGGCGCGGCAGCAACGTCCTTACGGGTGGGCACACCACGCCACCGTGCTGGAGGCGTACCTCAACGGCTCAGAAAAGCACCATCTGGTCATGCGTTCGAAACCCGCTGTCGGGGCGCCACCCGCCCAGGTCGCTCCCAGGGAATAGCAGAGAAGAGCAGCTGAAGGCCGCTGTACCTTAAAGAAACCCAGGGAGTGAGAGTGCGGTTCTGGACAGTGACGAGGCGAAGCCATCTTTGCGTCGGTCACAGAGCCGCGAGGCCGGGGGGCGGAGTCCGACAGGGCCAAAAGTGAAAACAACTACAGCGGGGCCAGGGGCCAACTATGGCCTGCACGCAACACGCCCCAGCGCAGTCATGCAGACGGTATTGCTGGTAAACACACTTGGGTCCAAAGGCAGGAAGTGCGTGTACCAGGGAGGGCGGCTGAAGGCCGCCACACGAGTATATGAAACGTAACCCAGGGAGGCAGCTGAAGGCTGCACAAAGTGTGGAAATCGGACGCTGCACCTGAATCTCTTGGGGATGGGGGGGCTCAGTCGCCCCACCGTCGTCTCTTCTCGCCACGATCGTCTGGCCTGCCGCCACCACGCTTGCCTCCTGACTGCCACTGGTCGTCGTGCCAGCCAGAGTTCCAGCCACTCTGCCAGTTGTCCCAGGCGTCCCAGGAGCTCCCAGCCCGGTCATACCAGCTGCTGTGCTGGTGGCTGCCCTTGCCCGTGCCGTCGGTCCTGGTGTGGCGCATGTATTCGGACCGTACCGTTGTCCTGTCGATGCGGAAGTTATACTTCTTGTCCCTCGCGTAGGCATCGTATCCACAGCGCTTCCAGTCATCCAAAAACTTGTTGATGTTCTCGTCCGTGTGCAGCTTCGGGTCTGACTTGGGATCCTTGCACCCAGGGATCCGGATGCCTTTTGTGTAGGCCGACCAAAGGGCGCAGAATACTCCACCCAAGTCCACTTGGTGTCTGGTGATGCGCTTGGCGGGCGTATCTCCGCGGCGCTCCAAGTCCACGGAGCCCAACCAGGCCTTGTACATGGGGCCTCCGTGGGCGTCGGTCAGCTGGTTGAGAGCGTGTCGTCCCGCTGCGCCAGAGTAGGCAAGCCTGCGGTCTGGTGTCTGTGGGTTGCGTAGTGGGGGGCGGCGGTCCTGCGCTGTGCCTCTCTCTCGCGCGGCTTCATCTTGACCTGGCCCGCTGGAACCACTGGCGTTCTGCTCGGTGGTGGCTGTACGACCCCAGGCGGCCAAGGGGTCGTTCGTCGGAGCTGGGTTCCATGCGCTCTGCCGTTGGGCTTTGCTGTGGCGGCCTGGCGCCAGGGCCATCATCTTCAGCGGGGCCAGCGGCCGGGTCCGCGCAGTCATCAGGTGGGGATACACAAAGCGTCAACAATTCTTTCGAGCCAAGCATTTTCGCCGAGATTCGGGCCCCAGGACCCTCAGGGATCGATCCTGCTCGAAAACATGGCACTGGAATATAGGATACGGGGCCCCCGTCGCGATTTTCTGCGATTGTTCAATGTTTCGTTCCGTGGGATCTCGGGACCCAAAAAGGGCTAGCGCGCGGTATCCCATCTCTCCCCCCCCCCGCCTTTTCGAAAAAAAAGGCCGCGGCGGCGCCTGGGGGCGCCGCCGCCGCCGCGTGCCGAGCGCCCGCCTCGCGCGCTCGCGCGAAGCGCAGCGGCGGATCTGGGATGACCGCGCCCTGGTCTCGCGCCGCAAGAAGGCGGCGGGGCTTCTGAAAAGGCGGGGGCCTTCTGTGGAGGCCCTCCGCCTGGGGGGCAAAGAAGCACCGACGCCGCATACCTCCAGACCTCGCCAGAGGCGCGGTCTGACCAGGAGCTCGAAGAGAGCCCAGCTGCGGGAGCGAGGGCTCTCCATGACGGGCAGCGGCATCGCCGTCCGCTCCTTATCTGGCCCGCCCACTGAGACGGCAGCACCCCTGGACCGACCCACCCCTCTGCGGGCGCCGCCGAACGTGGGAGACGGTAAAGGCAACCGCGCGCCACACATGTCTGCACTCAGCACAGCCCCCACTCCAGCGCGGCACAGCGCGCAGCCCTTTCGGTTCCAACGGCCGAATAACGCACCGCACCATTTTTGGGTCGAGCGTGGACGACGCCCCGGGTGGCGCCATCGCGAAACGGCGCACACAAGTCGCCGTCGTCCACGGGATGCCCACCTCCAGCACTGGAAGCTGACGATGGCAACACGACTGTCACGGGCTCAACAAGGCATCTCGGCCAATTTGTCTGCTCGTGACAGACTATCACAATTGTACGCCCAGGGCGTCAGCAGCTGCTGGTCGCGGTGGGTTGTGGCTCGTCGGCGGCATTAGAACGTCGCGGCACAGGTGGCCGCCCCCTCTGCGATAGCGTTGCGTCGAGATTGTGTCTGACCTGAAAGTTCGACATGTGGAAATGATCATGATTATCTTCGCGTTTTGAAGTCACGATGATCTGATAAGAGAGCTGCAGCCGTGGCGCTGGTGTACGTCTTAAAACGCCCCCCTCTAGACATAATACTCGCGCAGCCCGTTGTGAGGCCCATTTACATCCCCTCCGCTTTTGTTCCCGGTCTGTCCCCTTGGACGTCATCATCTGTGGCGACGGGTCCCAGACTGTCTAGCGGTAGCCCAGCAGTCACCTCGCCGACCGCGGCGATGTCGCTGGAGTTGTCCCTGCTCACGTCCGCGTGGCGGCGCGCGAGGCGCATCCCGTGGCGGCAGGGAGAGTGGTGCGGTCGGGTGTCGGTCTGGGACTTGCGACCCAGCCCGTGTTTGAACACGATGATGTTCTCTCGAGCCGCCGAAGCTTATACTTACTTCCATAAATATCATCCAGCATCCTGCAGGTTTCCGCAGGCGGGGCCGCCCCCGCTGTACTTCCGCCAGATTCCGCCGCCCCTGCCACCTTCCGCCGAGGAAGGGATACCAGCTCGTTCGATCCTCGAAGGAGAGGCCGTTTCGAGGAGCGCCCCAATACGGGCGTGCGGTATCTGAGCGGGCAGGCATCGAGACCGAAAGCCTGGGAAACAGACGAGCGAGCCGACGCACGTCCTGTTCCCCCCATCCGCCCCACGCAGCCAGCCATCCCAGCAGCCCAAGGCCCCCGCTCCTCCACGTTGGAAGCTCAACGTGGGTACGGAAACAATGAGCACGATGCCCGACAACAAATGTTGCTCAGAACCGACAGCGGTCGCTGTTGGGCAGGCGGCCTTCTGCCTCAAATGGACAACGTTCGCGGCGACACCGACAGCGAGCCCTGTTCAACATTTCGATCGTCCCGGCCCACGTGCCCCAAAGCAGTGCCGACCTACCCGCATCGAAGGGGTCGTCCAGATGCGGCCCGCAGTGGCTACACTCGCTGCAGCTCATGACGCACAGCACACTGCCCGTGTCCACGACCAGCGAGGTCCGCTGCGGCTGCGGGGAGCCTGACGCACCAGGGACGGCTTCAGCCGTGCGAGCATGCACAAGCTGCCAAACCAATGGGCACTCATAGGCAGGAAGGGACGACAGAGAAGGCAAGGATGCGACAAGGGCACCTGGCGGGGGGCATTAAGGGCGGCACTAGGGGATGTCGGGGGGCGGGCTGAAGGTTGACGAAGGGGAGGGCTCCAGAGATGCCTTCGTTATAACGAACAAGAATCTGACGGCGGGGGAGAGTTTTGGGGCAGGGTCAAGTCCGCCCTGCCCACCATGCCAGCCGCAGCAGACGGGGCATCTACAAGGATGGCATGTTTCCCAGAAGCCCTCCTCCCGCTGGTGTTGCTGCGATTCCTCATCCAAGCCTTCATGATGCGGACTGCATCCTCCAATGGAGCGACACCCTCGTCTCCCCCTCCTCCGCCATCTCCTCCGTCATCCTCCTTCTTCTAATTTAATACACAAGCCGCCTGGAGGAGGGCCGGTTTCGGCGGCAGCTCGGCCCGTGAAGGTATATCGGTGTGGCGGGACTGACACTGCAGAGCTATCCTCCGACACATACCGCGCCCTCACCCCACCTCTTCCTCCAGCTAGTCATTTACACGGCAGATCCCTGTCCCACCAGGGCCCCCCGTGTTCCCTCCCCCCGAGTGCGTCGCGGCGACCGACGGGCTTCGACGCCAGCGACGAGCGGGTCAGAACGCGAGAGACAATGAGGAAGAAGGGCAGAAAAGGGCGCCTTCGGCCACGGGCCGGCCGATTGAGAGCTCGGTGCTATCCCAGGGGTGTCAAGGCGCATAGACTCTGACGTCGTCTGAAGTGGGAGCCGATTTTTGGAGACGAACCAGCATGCATCCTTGTAACTGCAGGAAGCTTTTAAGACGAATGTGCGCATCGCTCAGACGAGTTAAAAGCCACCACCCATCCACCCATGTGAGTGCTGGATGTGTTTAAGCCAAATGGTCACCAACTTCAGAATACCAAACTGCAAGCAAGTCCGGAGCGACACGGAAGGGGCATGGAGGAGGAGGAGGAGGACGAGGAGGAGGAAGAGGAGGAGAAGGAGGAGGGGGAGCGGGGGAGGCGGAAAGACTGCGAGGGGGGCCCAGCCAAGCTCGCGCGCAGAAGGCGCTGGCGCAGGCGGGGGGGGGGGGGGCACGCCGTTCCGGGGGGGGGGGGAGGCACGCAGTTCCGAAGAGCGTGCCCCACCCCCGCCCACAACCAACGGCGGGGGGAGGGAGGGCGCGGAGCGCGGCCCCCGTCTCGCGAGTGCGATATTGTAAGAAGTATCCCTATTATTCCTCTGATCATTCTCATTGTTAATATGAACAATTATAACAATAACAATAATAATACCAAAAATACGAATAATAACAGCATCAGTAGCACTAGCATTACATATAATCGCTTTTGTCGTACGATCAGACATACTATTATTATACTGCTTACGATTAGCCTTTATTGTAGTAGTCATAATATGAGTATGAACAGTCGTATTCATATTAGTGTTGATATTGTGGGTGTCGTTACGATATCAGCATATGTATATCTCTCTCTCTCTCTCTCTATATATGCGTCGTTGCTTTCTGACTACGCGTTGAGAAATATAATTAGCATTAGTCGAGTGATAGTACGATTAGTATTCAGTATAATCATCAGTTGTATTGTCGTTATGGGTTTGAATACTACTGTTATCATGTTGTCTGCGAAGTATGATAATCATTAATGTTGTTCCCCTGAGAATTGGTAGTATCAGTAGTATACTGTGCTGTAACTTCATCAGTTAATCGTGATTATGTTTAGTATTCGTACTGATATAAATAATTTTAGTACGATTGATAGCATTCCGAGTATTATTCTCCGTACTGTTAGCAATATAATGGTTCCTCTTGTTCCTCGTTTTCCTCTTGTTCCTCTTCTTCATAGGATTCCTCTTCTTAGTAGTATTCCTCTTCCTCTTTTTCCTCCGCCTCCGCCTCCGCCTCCGCCTCAGCCTCCGCCTCCGCCTCCGCCTCCGTCTCCGCCTCCGCCTCCGCCTCCGCCTCCTCCTCCGCCCCCTCCTCCTCCGCCTCCTCCTCCTCCTCCACCTCCTCCTCATCCTTCCTCCCTCCCTCCCTCCCTCCCTCCCTTCCCTCCCTCCCTCCCCCCCCCCTCCCTCCTCCCTCCCTCCTCCTCCTCCTCCTCCTTCTCCTCCTCCTCCTCCTCCTCCTCCTCCTCCTCCTCGAAAAGACGGGTGACGGTGGAGAGGGGGTCGGGGGACGGGGGACGGGGGACTGCCAGGGGGCGGGGGACCTTTGGGCGCCCCAGGAGAGCGTCCAGGCAGGTCGCTTTGGGCTGCTCAGGGGAGCGTCCTGGCAGGTACCGAAGGCGGGGGGCCTAGGGATGGGGCGGGAGAAAGCATGAGAAACAGAGAGAGACGGAATAGGAGGAGAGGAGACCGGCACACGGCGGGCCAGAGAGGAGCCAACGAGGGCATCGACATAGTAATAGCCGAGGTCGCCGACGTTGCCGTGGAGCCTCACGGACTGCGGCTTGTCCCGCGCCGTGCGCTCCTCTGCCATATCGGGCGAGCAGAGGAGCCACAGCAGCAGCAGCAGAATTGCGGATGAGGATACGGAAGAGAGACCAGCTACATGCCTCGACACGAGCGATACATGGATGGTATGCCAAGACCTCCCCGGATATCCGAAACTGGCGACAGTTGCGCAGTCCGCGGACCCCAGGGAGGGCGAAGTGAAACCTGGCTTTGCGCAGGACGTCACCCCATTAACCCTCCAGGAGCTCACGAAAGAGGCGACAAATGCGCAGATCGCAGCCCCCAGGGGGAGCGAGGGTAATCTAGGCCTGCGTGAAGCTCCATTCCGCTGGACCTCCCCAACGCTCACGAAACTGGGGACAGTTGTGCAGGTCGCGGCCCCTGAGGAGGGCGAGGAAGAATCTGGGTCTGCGTCAGACACAACTTAGCTGGACCCCCCGCAGTCCACGAAAGTTGCGGCAGTTTTGCAACTGGTAGCCCCCCAGGGGACGGCGACGTTAAATCTGGGTCTGCGTGAACAAATATCTGGACGCGCTTCCCATGAGCTCCCAGTGGCGACGGTTTCGCAGTTGGCAGCCCACCAGGGTGGTGAGGTCTGATTTGGGTCTGCGTGAGGCACCCCTCGGGACCCCCCAGGATCTCACAAAAGTGGCGACGGTTGCACAGTTTGTGGCCCCACAGGGTGGCGAAGTCTAATTTGGGCCTGCGTAAGGCACCCCAAGCCGAGCGAAGACGGCTCCACGGGTTCCAGAACTATTGTCTGAGACGAATTTGCAGAGTCCCCCCATCGTAAATCAGTCGGGTGTCAAATCGCAGTTCTACAGGTTTGCCAACAAATGCCTTTGAGCACGTCTCGCGCGTAGATTGACGTTATACGCGGGCCATTTGGCCAGAAGACCGGACGAAGATCCAATCAGAAGCTCGGTGATTGAGCCGGGCGGTCTGGCTCTCAAGAGCCACCTGGGAAAAAGGAGAAGAGGCCGCCCGAGACAGTCTTGGGGGCCCATGGTGCTAAAGAATTGCGAAAATGTTGCCGGCTCTCATGAGTGAATACCCCGAACTGAGTTCTGGCCAAGCTGACTCGTTGAACGGCTTCGTCCCTGTCGTCATCAAGTTTAGCGGCGATTCCCTTGTAGTTACCAGCTACTATGGCATCTCTTCTCTAGGTTTCAGTGGGGATAATGCTAGGAGGCTCTCTACGGCGCGCGCCCTGGTAGCCTCTCTGCATCTCCTTTGGATCGTGGTGGGAGACCTAACATGGCCCCAAGAGAGCTCGCCCGTTGCGGTGTCATTGATAAGGTGGTGTAGCTTGTCTTCGGATATAGAGAGCACTTGCGTTGTAGGCACTGGCGCATCACACATCGACTATTCGTTCGCTTTGAAATCTGTTTGCCCGTACACTTTAGAGCTCGCACCTGTCTTAGATGCCATGGGGCACTCACTGTGGCCTGAGCGTACAGCTGCGAGGGCAAGGCCTGCAGCTGATCACGCGATCTCTCATTTTACCCAGAAAGTTGCCACCGGTAATTCGCCCCAATGCCACCCCGCAAGCAGTTAGCAAATCGCAGCAAGCCAAGAAGAAAAAAACAACAGCGCCGCGCCGATTTCAAAGCCAAATTTAGCTCAGCTTGCCAGAAGGTTCTGCGGGGATCTGTTAGGACCCACTCTGATCGAGACGGTAGGAGATCAGCCTTGGAGCACACCCGGTGACCTCGAGGACCCATTTTCTGCCCAGCACCCCGATGTTTGGGACGCAGAGCCCGACCCGCGGACTCAAGAGGCTAACTGGTCCAGTAGCGCTCCCAGCGCCAGCCACTCAGAGCCCGAGGGTGAAAATATCGAGCGCCACCCCCCCCCCAGCCCGCAGCGCCGACCCATTTAACGAGGCTGAAGGAGGGCCCCCAAGGCGCAGGTCGCACGCATCAGGCCCCCCTCTTCTCCATCTCCCCCGAAGTGCGGCAGCAGAACCGCAAGGATATAGGTTTCACCGCGCAATCTGACAAGCACGTTTGGCCGATTGTCCGCGATTCAGGAGCTTGTCACCGGGGACGAGATCACATCTTACACATTAGTGGTATGTACGCGTCTTGGATAAAATCGGTTGAGAATCCCACCCTGCAGCACCACGGTGAGATTCAACACAATGGCGTGTCTAGGGCGTCTGGGCCTCAACTCGTTGTTCACGTAGTGCAGAAGGCCGAACATCTGCGTGAAGTACCCCTCACGAGTTAGCTTGCCTCGTGGTGTAGGTTGCACGCAGTGCTTGTTCGTTGTCACGGGCATCGCACGCGCAAGAACAGGCAGAAGCCGATAGACATACCTAGCTCGGTCGCACGCAAGCTTGCTAGTGACAGTCCTGGCGGTGCGAACACTCTTCTCAATCCTGGGCAGCACAAGCACACATCGGAGCAATAGATGCATGACTTACGTGACATCAGCACGATTAGCATGCGCATCTTAGAGGACCAGATGCGATCTCGCAGCGTGCCAGGCGAATGGCTGTCCTAGCCTTCCTTTCGAGAATTTCAAGATTGGATTGTGCAAGAATCCTCCCTCGGCGCTGTGCGTCGTTCCCTCCGTGCTGTTCCGCTGGCATCTGACGAGTCTTGCGTGGACGGAGAGCGCCTTTTTCACCCGCCCGACATCGTAGATGCCAAAGTGAAGCAGTTGCATTCGCTTTGGGCTCCTGATCAATATAAACTAGATGAAAATTAACAGTTGTTTGAAGATGTTAAAACGACTGCTCAAGTTAAAGAAATAGTTCCGCTTTCGGTTGATCAGCTTTGGAAGTCCCTCAAGAAAACGACGGTTAAGGCTGGACTCGGAATCGATAGGCTCACGCCCATCGACTCCGAGAGGCTCCCAAACATCGCGCTTGAGGAACTCTCTGGCATCTACGAGGCGACTGAGACATCTTGAACGTGGCCACGGCAACTCCTATTAGTCTTGTGGAAGCTCCTCCCCCACGAGTCATCAGGGGACCGCGTGATCGGCATGTTACCCATGTTTTGCAGGCTGCGGAGCCTGGTCAGAGACAATATGTCCAAACAGTGGCCCAGGGAAATTCGGTTCCCAAGTTGGACGCGACCATCGAAAGCAAGTCCCCCCTCGTCGAAGCTTGCATGAGGATCCCGGACGCCGAGGACGCTCACAAGTTGGGCGCTACTCATGCACAAGTTATATGATAACATTCGGTGGAGTAATCTAGTTCAAGCAGCTCGTCGTTTCGGCTTTCCTGATGTTCTCGCCTTGGAACTCCAATCTTGCATTGCCGCTCGTATTTTATCGCAGCTAGGTGCACACTCGCTTGGGTTTCAGCCAACGCAAGGCATTATACAAGGTTGCAGGAATGGCACGAGGTTCGGGACGTGTTTGACCTATTCAAGTTTACAAGCCATGACGACGCGGCACCCACGTATGAGTGAACGCATTTGGGTTGATGACCTTTCTATGTCAGCTGTAGCATCAAAGCGGGCTGAGGCAGCACTCACGAAAGGCATTGCTGACCTCAACGGGCTTCCAAGGAGCAGTCTTTGGGCATGCCCTCCAAGCCTGTCATTTTGAGCTCGGACCACCACCAGGTCGCCAAGAGGACGGTGAAAAACTTGAGAGCGCAGGGCATCCACCTCACCCCGACCCTCCAGGCCCCGTCCTTGGGTATTGATGTCGGAACTGGTAGGCGTCCCGCTCGAGCCACTCGCCGCCAACGTATTCTCAAAGGTGCCGTTCAAAACCATAAGCTACGTCGTTTCGCTCACGCCTCCAAGCGACATGTCGTGACCAAGCGTGTCGAGCTCGCGGGGCCTCATGCTGGTGCTTCCTATGGTGTTCAGGCTTACGGGGCCTTCGGTTCGTACATGGTCGGGCTTCGTCGTCGGCTTGCCTTGGTGGTAGGAGCTAACAAGCGTGGTAGATGTATCACATCATCCTTGGACATACGCTCTCCAGGACAAGATCGAGAGATTCGGACACCAGCCAGTTGTTTACGTCAATGGCTACATGCTTGGATTCACGTTCCAGCTTGCGGTTCAGGTATCAGGAGAGTCTGGCCCTCGGTCTACCAGCATTTGCAGCACCTCAGCCCCGAGGTCCGCACGAGGCACATTAGAGGGCACATCTCCGCCAACGGTCACCAGCTGATGCTCATCAGTTGGGGCCCAGTCTCTCCTGATCAATGGCATGGGCCATCGACGGACGGCGTCAAACCAGATTTCGCATGGAATGGTAACATTGACGAGCTGGTCGGCTTGGACCAGACTCGTGACATGATGCTCGAGTTTATCGAAGCTTTGCAGATCAGGCAATGGAAGCAAACAGCCAGCCACGTTTCAAGAGCTGGCCTGGAGGGAGACGCAGACAACCGCAGTCTGATAGTTCTTGTACAGCATCTGCAGCAGGCGCCGCGAGGCCGACAACTTGCAGATATGTTGCTCAGCATTGCAGTGGGCGGGTCATGGATGGAGTCCAAGCATAAGGAGGGCTTGACAGATGACGATCTCTGCCCTCGTTGCCTTGAAGCTCCTGGGTCAACCGTCCACCGTCATTGGTGTATGCTCCAAGAACCGCAGACATGAAGTGTACGACAGTTCGGACCCCCTGGTCCCCGAGGCCATTTCCCAGGGAGATGCTCATGCATGCTTCTGGCACAGAGGCCTGATACCGAAGAGTTGGACGTACGTTCGCCCGCCCACCCACGACAAGAAATGATTCACCACAAGTATTGACCTTTTGACCGATGGGAGACTTGGCCATGGTGCGTTGCATGACCCTATTTCCGTATGCGGGGACGCCTCTGGGTGCCAAGATTCTCGAGATCCCAGCTTGAGGAGGGTTGCTCTGGCCGTCGTCAAGATCGGGCGGTTCTCCCCCTTTCTCGTATCCACCTCCATCTCGGGCCCCCTCCAAGGTACCCAACAAACTGTTCCTCGTGGGGAGCTCCTGGTGCTGGTTATAGTTGTGCGGCATTCCTTCTGGCATCTGATTTTCGCTCCAGACAACGAAGAGGCTGTTCGC